TCAAAAGTTTGACGGACGATTGTCTGCTTTGGTCATAAGCCACGTTGATCAATCCGAAGATTAACCGAAGCTTTTGCGTTGGCCGAGGTAAGTGAGTGCTAATAGGTTTATAATGAATCTATTGGGACGTTTGAGATACACCAAAAGGGAGATACAAACCCAATATATCATCAATAGGACTGATAGTCTAGCAACTGCCACATGCCCCTGATAGTAACACAAGAATCAAGTTCAAAAGAGCATGGGAACGTTGTAGGATGGAAATCCGGACCAAGCACCAAATAAGTGTGTGACACGAAGCATTTACCGTTGTATGACAGCAAGATCGCAAGGTTCCTGAAATTCTGAATCGAACAAAGTTAGACAGAGTGTAACAGACCGAAACAACAGACCGATAGGCACTGTAACGGTAACAGCAGTGAAATAATAGTGACCGTGTACATACGTAGGTACACATGTACATCTAGTTGTTTGCTTGTGGGAAAGAAGATAGAAGATATAACAAGACGATCTCCCACTATAATGATTATTTGACTTGATGCCTTCCAACTAAATCATGCCATCAGCAATGTGCCGGTCATTACCAAACCGCCCTCGCGCTGCGCCAGCAATCCAACTAGAATCCGAGGAAACAGCCGCCATTATTGCAGTCACACAAGGCTTCCTCGCAGCACTGAGCAGCAAGTCGCGCGCCGATTTCGAGAAACACTGTGTCCGAGCAGGAGGAATGACACTCTCGCCTCCATCTCCCACTTCCCTGCGCTTCTGTACGATTGGTTCGTTCGTTGAACATGTTGCTGGGCTCAAAGACGATATCGATGAGCGTATCTGGGATCCCGAGGTGAAGGTGCACGAGACAGGAAGCCTGAACTTGGCCGCTGTGTGGGCACCATTCCGGGCAAAGATCAACGGTGTTGTGGATCATGTTGGTGTCGAACTTTTCGTTTTGCATAAACTCAACGGTGAATGGAAGGTGACGGGGCTGGCGGACTCCTGTCGGTTGCCGACTGAGGAGGAAATGCTGCTGGAATGAGTACTTTGGTTGGAGGGACACTTAAAGAAAGGAGAAAATTAAAATCCATCAGATGCTGTGACAAGGAGGGCTGCCTCGAATTGTCATGAATATGTGCAAATTATTTCAAGTTTCCGCCATACATGCTCACACTCTGGATATCTAATTGTATGTGTGTGTGGATGTGTGTAGATGCCTCTGGTCTAGACCGTTTTGCCTCGGAGAAGTTCCCATCCAACTGATCCCTTTTTGCCTTCTTTGACAGTCATTTCCTCGACAGCCTTCACTAGATCGTAGGTGATCTCCTCAGAGACAACGCTGTCCTGCTTGTAGCCAGGATGCTTGGCTACAAACTCACGCATCCAACGAGCCCCAGTCCAAAGGGTTCCGTCGGCTCGCTTCCGGATCAGATCAAGATAGCTGGCCAGGAAACACCTCGTCTCGACGTCAACATTGACGCTATTGAGGTAGGACTCCACAAGCGGGATAAGCCCCGGGAATGATCCGTCTGCGCATCCGTTCACAATGTCGTCGATGGTCATGAGATCAAACTCTGTCTCGAACGGGACCAAGAGGAGGAGATGGAGGCGGCGTGTTCACAGCGGACGATGCCGTAGATGAGAAGGTGCTGCCGTTCGTCGACTGTTGTGCGCTTCTGGGCACCCTGCGAGGGAAGGGGTCCTTCCGGAACCAGAACTTCCGATCAAGAACAGCGTTGCGAGCGTGTGCCGTCTCCATATTCTCCGTAGTACGCTGGATCGGGATGTAGAAGTTGAGATCGAAGCTCAGGATGGCACGAGTGATGAGGACGATGAAAATGCTAAATGCGGCGTTCTCGAAATCCGTGATTTGGATCTCCATAGACCGGAACTCAACTCTCCAGCCAATATCATCTTTATCAGGCGGCGGCGGCTTGAAGCGCATGTGCTGCCAATTAGTGGACTGCAAATTCTCAAAGTGGTCACTCTTGTTAAGATCCAGTTCTTCGAGATCCTCAGAGAAAATGACCAAGGGATCACGGATAAACAAGTGTGCAAAGTGCGTCGCAAGTAGATCATCCATTCCTCCGTCCATGAGGCGTTTCTTAATATCCTCATCAACAACTAGATCAGGATCGAAGTATTCCTTCCGGAGACGAGGATCCTGAGATATGTAAGTCGAATTAGAGGCATATCGTGACTTGGGGATTCTCCACCGGTCGTTCTTGAGAGGCTGCAGGAGGTTAGTTCCGTGAGCCAAGGGTATCATCCCGGAAAGCTTACAGCTTCGCCAAGTTCCTCGCGTGTCCTGTCATCGACTGCATTGCCGATTTGATTCCATCGCACATCTGTGTCCACTAGGAAGCCTTTATAGATCGGTGTAGCCGCGGTCAGGGCCAGAAGAATGGGCCCCAAAGGACTCAGTTGATCATAAAGTCTTCTACCCTCTGTCATATTCTTCGCTTGAAAGGTTATCTGCAAGCAACAGCTGCCCATTCCGAATGCCATGGCGTCCATGTAAACATGATCGTCCTTGGCAGCACCGTTGCGGACGTCGTCATCCTCGGGCCAATTATGAAGGTCGTAGTTAACTGTGGGATCCTTAAATGGCCTGGGAGTATTTGTGTCATGGAAAACAGGCACATTCAGTTCGACCTTGCGACCTCTTCGGGATCGAATGTTGGCAGCCAGAGTCGGGAATCGGATATGGGGATTGGCAATCTCATCAGGAACAAACTGCGAGCGGAGAGCTGGCCCAGACGGGGGATAATATGGCTGGATGTAGTCATCCTTGGTTCCTAACCGAGGGAAGGTTGTGAGGGTGATGGGGACTTCATTCGGAGCCATGTGTGCTTTCGCAACTTCTCGTCTTGCAGGCTATTAGCATGTTTTAGGTCAAGTCGTGTTGCCAAAACAGCTCACCTCCACTTCATATTAGACTCCACCTTGAGTAGGTCTTTAAACCCGATTCCCCAAGGCTGTCCAGGAGTAGCCTCCAACATGAACCTTCCAAATTCGGGATGGAAATGCGGCGGATCCTCCCCCTCACTAGCTGTTGTCAGATACACTAGTTCCTGTCGGAAATTAAATCACAACTCACTGGTCCCCAGTTTCACTGCCCTTGCCGGAACCAGACTTCCACAACTCCTCGTCTCTGGCAAGCGATTTCAGGATCTCAGCCTGGGCTAGAGATAGCCGTGATTTCTTCGCCGCGTCGTCGAGAGCTACCACGAGGTATTCGACCTATCGTGTAGAGGATATCGGTCAGTGGTGGTTGGCTGGGAAACACTATGCGGGCCAGAACAACATACCTCATCACCCCAAAGAAGAGCATCGCGTTCTTTGCCTCGTGCCCTGCGCCAATTGGCAAGTAATTGCTAATCAAGTCAGACACTTCGAGGTTTGTCGCTCTAGACGAATCGAACACAGGCGGCATACCTCGATACCCCACTGACGCACCTGGCCCGCCTTTGTCTTGGCTTCCGGCCATTCCAGTGCTGTTCCGAGAGCTCTGGTTGAGATTAGACGGATTCCGAATAGCAAACCGAGCCCCTCAGAACACATACAGAAGTCCCATTGCGTCAAAGATGTATGTCTCCAAGCTGGCAAACACAAAATGCCTAGGCACAAGTATAGGGTAAAAGAGTCAAGACAATCCCAAAGTGGACAGGAGAGCCGAAGGTTGAAGAACCGAGAGTAGTCAAACAGATGTAGACCTGCGCATAGTCCCCCTTCTAATTGATTCTCCGTAGTTCCTGGCAAATGGCAATGAGGGGGATTTTTCGGAGGCCGGCCGATTTTCTGGCGGGGGCGGCGATAACGGCGGGAGTTTTATTTCCCTGCCAAACCTCCGACTTGTATTATTAATCATGATTTGTCACGGCCTTCTCTACCTAGGTAGAGACTTCCAAGGTTATTCCATCAAGGCTTTTATACGGGGAATATCCTCATCTGACTTGATTTCAGAATATCCTCGACTTGGAGTACACTGGTATAGAAAGGCTGGTGGGATGAGACCCTTCACTTGCGTCTTCAAGGATCATCATCTATCAGTAGGTCCGAGCGTTGTATAGATACAAAAGGGAATGAATCAAAGTCACAGATATCACAGTCAATAGTTAATACCAAAATGATGTTCAATTGTCTACAAGGTAAGCTAAACCATGGAGATATTGAGATATTAACACCTACAGAATAGGTAGAGAGTCAATATTTGAAAGTACAGGAACATACTCCGTAGAAAATATCACAACTAAATGGAACTTATTGATATGATTCAATGATGTTTACGTCAAATCTGCATATAATGCAATATTCATACCTATATGTAGGTCCCTACTATAACTAGCATAATATCGTGCACACCAATCGGGAGCAATGCAGCCAATGGAACTACAGCTTAAGCTTATAAAGGCGTAAACGATCACTGGACGCAGAAAATGGTATCTAATTAGGCAACATGCTTTGGTCCTGGTCGAAGGGTCTAACCTAGGGGACGTCCACGGGTGTATATAATACCTAGGTAAGCAGCCTAAATGAGCTTCACGAGCTTTACATCAGTGGTCCGTAGCAAGGCGTCATTGCCTAGAGTAAAGCTGTCATCTAAGGTCGCCAAAAGAACTATAAAATCCTAGCGCGTGTATTACCGAGGGACTCCAAGGAATTCAGTCAAATTCCTAGGGTTGTATAGTTCTTTTTGCAAGTGATTTACTAAACGATGTGCTTACATGCGCTCAAACTATGCCAAACGACAAGTCGTCTATGGACACATGCTTGATCTGAGAAAACATGCTGGGTATCAACCTAGCCAATGTCAAACAGAGCATCAAGTTGCAGATGCAATTGTTGTTTAGATAGGCAAAGAAAATAATGTGGCCGATTTTGATGAAAGGTCCCAACGCCAAAAAGGCAATCCATAAAAGCAGCTTCGGTATATCTCTTATTTACATTTCCTGCTGCTTTAGCAGCAGCAGCAGCACTGACCACGCATACCAACAGTCCCCCACAGATCAGTTGCTCCGGGCACCATCCTTGGCGGCACGCAGCTCGTCCATCTTGGCCACACGCTTCTTGAACTCTTCGTACTGGCACTTCTCATATGAGTGTCGTTCATCCTAGAGGAAAAGAAGAGAATGGCATTAGCTGACTAGCTCTGGAAAGCGCTCTGGTCGAATCGGGTTGTGTTGGAGCATCAAAATGAGGGATCTCGTACCTCACACTTCCAGGGAAGGTAGTACTCTGCTTGCCGGCATCGGTTCAATGGGATCAGCAGGTGTGCGCATGAATCTCTGTATTGCATGGGAAGACGGGCTTCCGACATTTCCTGCCGGGTTGCTGGAATCTGGGTTAAGTTTCCTGCTAGAGCTTTTGACTGGTGGCCATTGGCCTTGGAATCTTACCAGAGGTCTCCGAAAGGCCAACGGCACTTTTAACCGTTTCGATGACAGTCATCTTGTCAAGAATTGAGGGGTGGAAAGGCAAGGAGCGGGGAAACAGAGGCAGGACGGCGTGGTTGGCGATTCCCGCTCGTTTGAGGTTCCTGCTGGACCGATATTGGTCACATGACATAGAATCACATGACAGAATTCCGCCTTCCGAAATGGGACTAGTGCGCACTTTACGCGTCCAGCGCGTATTTGGGATGCCACCCCCAGCTCCACCGAATCGTATCTCTGTGTTCGCGGTCCGGATTTTTATTGCGTGCAATGCATCGAGTGCCGAAGAATTCTTAAACCAATCAACTTGCGGATCTTCTACGGGTGACGCTTCGGCTCCAACGTGCGTGGTTGCTACATCGCTCTTCGGGAACCTACTGAATTGCAGCGGCCGACGGCGACGCACATTATGGCGGGGATGGAAAGCATCTACTCTGCTACCTATAGCAGTGTAAGTATATCTATGATTGAATGTTTTCACCTCCCTATCATGGGATTGTTTTCCGTGTTGAATGCGACCACAGCTGACGTTCTCACACCCAGGTGCCCGTGTATGAGTTCAAGCTTGACACTGACAGTGTCATGAGAAGGCGAGCGGATGATTGGGTCAATGCAACACACATCCTGAAAGCTGCAGGGTTCGATAAGCCTGCACGAACGCGCATTCTCGAACGAGAGGTCCAGAAGGGGGTACATGAGAAGGTTCAGGGAGGCTACGGCAAATATCAGGGTATGTATTGGGATGTATGACGCCTGAAGAGAAATCCCAGCTTACTGACAGGCAATGCGCACAGGAACATGGATCCCACTTGCGGAAGGCCGCCAGCTTGCGGAACGCAACAACATCCTTACAAAACTAGCCCCAATTTTCGATTACGTTGCTGGAGACCACAGCCCCCCGCCGGCGCCAAAGCACACATCAGCTCCATCTAAGCCTAGGGCACCGAGGAAATCTGCCGCTGCAAACCGTGCTGCCGCTGCCGCTGCCGCGGCCGCAGCGGTAGCAGCTTCAGAGTCTATGAAAGTTGTTCAACCTCAGCGCAGCATGGGTCCCCCAACCATTCCACAAGATTCCTACGAAATGAATGCGGCGTTCGATGATAACGAGTCAATTGGACACGCTACGATTGAATCATCATCAATGGTCGCAGACGAGGATATGCTTCAAATGTCACATGGTGGACGGAAGCGGAAGCGTGGAGTGGATGAGGCAACCGCTATGTCCATTAGTGAGCAGGAACACATAATCTACGGCGACCAACTTCTAGACTATTTCATGACCGTGGGTGATGCACCAGAGGCAACACGCATTCCCCCTCCCGAACCTCCTGCTCATTTCCAAGTCGATCGGGCTATTGATGACTCTGGGAACACAGCACTCCACTGGGCATGTGCGATGGGTGACTTGGGCATTGTGCAAGATCTCCTGCACAAGGGGGCTAATGTCAAGGCCCTTTCGGAGCATGAAGAAACCCCGCTCGTCCGAGCTGTTCTGTTCACCAATAATTACGAAAAGAGAACGTTCCCGGCTCTCTTAGACATGCTTCTGGATACTGTCTCTTTCCGAGATTGGTTCGGCGCCACTATCTTCCATCACATTGCAGAGAATACTCGAAGCAAGGGAAAGTGGAAGAGCTCACGTTATTATTGCGAAATACTCCTCGATAAGTTATGCAAGACATGCTCGCAAGATGAGATACAAATGTTGTTGTCATGCCAGGACCAGAATGGAGACACCGCTGTCTTGGTCGCTGCTCGCAACGGCGCGTTTCGCTTAGTGAACATCCTTCTTGTGCATTGTCACCGCGCTGGCGATCTGGTGAATAATAAAGGGGAAACCGCTAGCAGTATCACACAGCGTTCTCAACATCATGACCATGACATCCCGCCAGCCCCATCCTCCGTCACCATGGCTAATGAACATATGGATGCTGAAGCAGCTGGTCTTGTGGGCACAGATCAACAGTCCGTTGCTCCAATCCCGGATGCCCCTGCGACGTCTGAGCTCCTCTCCAAGATTGGGGCGATCATGGCTGAGGCTAATAAAAAGCTTGCCGTGACCTATGGAAACTCAAAAATCAACCAGCAAGATTCCAATGATGTCGCTAATCCTGAAGCGTTATACGAGCAATTGGAATCCGACCGCCAGAAGATTCAGAAGCAACTCTCTGCATTGGCGGCGAAGGAGGCCGAGCATGAGCGCAATGACGACCAGGCTGGTCGATACGAAAAACTGCGCGCAAGCTATGAGTCCCTTCTGGAGCAAGTCCAGCATGCTCGATTGGCCGAACAGTTTGCTATCACGGAGGTACCAAAACCTACACCAGCGTCCTTTGAGCAGGATGAGTTAATGGCAAGGTATCGACTCGCTCGAGAGCTCTGCTCTGCGCAGAAGATACGTCGCAATGCTATCAAAGACTTAGCCCAACAAACAGCGGATGCGGGTGTGAGCACCAAGTTCGATATGCACCGCAAGCTGGTGGCTCTGGCGACCGGACTTAAAGAAGAGGATCTGGACCCTATGGCTGCGGAGTTGGCTGAAACGTTGGAATTTGACCGAATGAACGGCAAGGGCACCACTCCGGAACTAGGTCATCGACAATTACCATCCCAGAATGAGTCGGCCACTCACCCTGGACCCAGTGTCCCAGTGGATGCTTAGCTACCTCCAGGTCGCAGACCCATGGACTCCATGTTTGATTATATTTCATGATTCATTGATTTTCCTCTGGCACACTATTTCAGCCAGCAGATACCCCGCATCTTCATCGTTTCTTCTCTTTTCTTTTCTACCTTTTCTTCATATCCATTGTTTTAACCTTTCTTCATGTTCCCGTGGCTCAACAGCAACTTATCTACCTAGGTAGTTGTGATTCTGGGCCCCATTCTCCATCTGACTAGCATTCTGACCCACAAGCAGATATGCGGGCACAGACTGTCTATCTCTTTTTCATATGTGTCTGTACAGACCATAAGAACAGTTGTACATTGTACATACAACGTGGGGGCAGCGGTTCCCGATTCCCTAACGGGCGAGATGCGAAATACTAAACCAGGACGGGCTGAGATGTACGTTATACATGTATGATTCATTTAGGATGGCAAAAGGCGTGGTTTATACCAGCGTTTGCGCGAAATTCTGCAATTGATAATCCAGATCTTCATGGCCCGTCGTAAACGATAATCACGTTAGCTTCTATGGCACGATCTTACTAGACAGTTTCCTATGTAGTCTGTGCAATTCCCCAGATCATATCACAAGGGTCTTACCACCTTGTTCTATATGTGATCTCTGAAAGACGCTACGGTACAGATTCATCCTTATCTTCGCGTGCTCTATATCGTTGTAGAGCCATCTCTTCCGCCGACCAAAAAGTTCGTGAATTCCAAGGTTGCCAATGAACAAGATGATATTCGATTGGATCCATGCATCCATGCCTTGGTTCATAAGCCGATAGGAAGGTAGCATCTTCTTACTGAGCCGGGATCAAGCTTATTCAAGGTCTTCCATAGGATATTTGATGTGCCATTCGTTGCTGATGAGACTCGCCCACCTGGCCTACAATCTCTAATTTTCACAATTTCTTGCCGTAGAAAACGTCCTTTTCTGGCGTATTGACAAGCCGGGGCCTTTCTCTATTCGTTTCATGATTCAGAGGACGCCAGTCTTTTCTACAATCCTATATATATATATCACATCACACGTTATCATATGTAGTGTCTCGCAAGAAAGCATGTGATGATAACTGAAGAGTCCACTATAAATTTCTACTCCGCAGCAATTTGATAGACAATATTGAGATATTCTCTTGCCTCCTTGGTTTTATCTGGGTTTTGTGGGCATTCTGCTTGGCTTCAAGCGCTTGTTGCCCTTTATAGATCAAAAGCCGCTCAAAATCACTTATGGTCTGTGAGGCAGTTCCTACGCTCCCTGACCATCTCACAGCTTTAATGGGAGATCGATGGCGATAAGGGAACAGAGCCAGTGAGGGGATATTGTAGAAACATAGAAACACGCCTATGTGCTAAAGAGCAGGAGAACGACAAACCCAAGAAGACACGCTATACTACATTCAGAATTCACCCTCATTGTAGAATACGATGAACAGGGTTGTGACAATGATGAGATCCGATTGAGTTATGAATGAGAAGCAAACAAGCAGGTAAACCCATTGGCTGGCGCCTGCAGCTTGGCATCAACGACGAGCGGCTCCAGGGGCATTGTCAGGCGTCGATGGCAGCCACGTCGCGCCGCTAGTGGCCAACAGCCAATGATTTGGCTGGGGATGTGATGGGGGGGATCACTTCATGGCTGGGTGTGTCGCTTATTGGCCAACAGAACAAGCCAGTCAGATCTCCCCAATAGGTCTTCTGTGATGCTGTCAGCTATGATCAGGCAGTCAGGCAGAAGAAGAGGATATCGCCTAGAGTATAGGTAGACCTGAAAAAGCTTGAATTACCCCTATTTTCCCGCAAACATGAGAACAGAATTAAAGAAGATATCTAAGTGAGTCTCCGTTGATATTCCGCTGAGATTCCCTCTCAAAGCGATTGTGCCCAGAGAAAAGACGCTAGTACTCTTTGGGCCTATTGTGTTCGATTGCTGCCTTGGGGATCAGGCAACAATCCCCGCCTAGGCCATCCACCATCTTCAATCTCTCTCTCTTCTTCTTCTTCTTCTTCTTCTCTCACAATCCTCCATCTAATCTTCGATTCTTTCTTTTCCTTTTCCCCCTCTGCATTCCTTCTTTCTCTGCAGCTCTTCTCGTTTCATGGAAAACTCCCAAAAAAGCATTTATCCGCTTTGCAAATAGCTCCGATTAGTTCCGCGCCCCCTGAGGAAAAACGTTGTGTTTGGCCGAGACCCGAATTCGCTGCATCGTTTTTTGATACCCAGTTCATCTCTTCGGCCGGATCCCTGAACTTGTTTTCTCATCGGTTATTTGCACAGCACTGGGTTGTTTGGACGCGACCTTCAGTGTTTCAGCCTTGAAGTCTTCGATCTTCGGTATCGCG